GAGCTCCGTAGTAGAGGCCTGGGCCCCTGTCCTGTTCTGCAACTGCCTGCCCCTGGCTTTGGCCTTCGCGCCTTATGTCAAGAACTCCAGCTGTGAGCTGTAGCACGCAGTGTTAGACGTTGAACCTGGGCTCTGAGGTGTGGCCTGCCCCTGCTCACCGTCACCAGCCTCAGCTGCTCCCTCAGCCTCTTGGCATTGCTCTCCTGGTCATTATCTGCGTGATGAGGCTGGGGGAGTCTGGCCATGTCCAGGAGGGCCATGCGATGTGCCACACGGCCGCTGGCACATAGTGGGTGCATGGCACAGAGCAGTGCCATGCGTTTGTCCCCCCACCAACATCCGCTCTTTGACCCCTGACCGTCTGGGATTGCCTGAGCCCAGACACTCTGGGCCATCACCATCTGGACTCTGGGCTGTTCCCAAGTTGGGTTCCCAGCACAAGAGGCTACATGCCAAAATGCAGGAAACCAGAATCAGTCTGGAGAACTGTGTCCAGTCCTGGCTTTTCCCACCTACCTACCTGCTTGGCGGCATTAGATGAGTCCCTCCCCTTCTCTAGAACTCAGGGATCCCCTAAATGTCATTAACAATCATATTGATCCTAGTAATGATAATACTGATGGCAGGAGTGGGTTTACTGGTGCTCCCCCCCAAAAGTCTATGCCCTAACCCCCACAACCTGTGAATGTGACCTGATTCAGAAAGAAGGGTCTCACTTATTCATCAAACAGCACCACATGCAGAAGTTCCTACAAGAAGCAGGTAACAGGTGTTGCTGTGCGAGCTACTGTAGGATGAGGCCTGCGGCTGGTGCCTCCGAGAGCCCCTTCAGGTATGGGTAGACTTCCTGAGCCCAGTGAGCTTCTCTAGAACTGTCAGAAATCACTGGCCTACGAGTGCTGTGATGTTCCTTGATTAAACGAATGCCTGAAACAGCCTCTTCAGAGAACCCACTAGGGCCTGTTGTCTCTCATTAATGTTTCCCTTTACCTGCATTGATGTAGGAGTCTGATTCAAGGCTCAGTGCCTCATTTCGAAAGAGCAGCAGGTTCTTTTTCCTCTTGGCCTGATTCCTAAGCAGGCAGATTCTTAGGGAAAGAGTGAAATTTAAAAGCAGGCCGCAAGCGCTGCCTCCTTCCTCCTCGGGCCAGATCCCTGGCCAAAGGCTCCCGCTCGGCACCTCCCGGGGCAGGCTCAGTGCCTGCTGGCCATGGAGAAAGGCAGGCTTGTTGTGGCAATGCTGCCCCCGAGGAAGAGGCTCTTGTGCCCTGTCCCTGGACCTCAGTTTCTCCAGTGAGTCTGGGTGGCTGCTCCCACACTGGTTGTCCGTCCAGCTGCCTTAGGCTGCCCTGGAGAGGAGAGCCACTGAGCCCTCCCATTTGGGGCACTAGCTGGTTATCAGAACAGCTACACATTCAGGTTCTGGGTGGGAGACCACAAGGAACCCAACGGTCCTTTTAAAATAGATTGCTAAAACTCGTCACGCCTTGCTTCTTGAATCGTAGCATGACTGCTTTATAATTGGGTTACATCAGCCTGTTTTATATGTAAGGCCTACGAGCCCAGCAGCTTGAGAAGGCATTCTGCTGAGCAAAGGAGAGTGAATGGTTGCAAAGGGGCATTTGCGTGGGTTAGAAAGCAGGGGGTCACCCAGGAGAGTCCAGCACAACTAGCCGTAAAAATAACCAGCCCCACGGGGCTCGGGAGTATATTCGGGTGGACCATATGTCTTGTGTGCCTGGGACAGTCCTGCTTTATGTCTGTTGTCCCAGAGGCATCATTAATATCCCCCTTTTCACTCTCAGAAGGATCTGGGTTTGGCTGATAAATCACGTGGTCACCCTAATTGTACATCACCTTGTATGTGCACTTGGTATGGATAATATGTTTAAATAAAAACCTGTACCCGCATGCTTCGGCGGCTCTAAAGCTGGTTGTGGGTTAGCGCCACTGTACCACAGTGGCTGAGGCACATCACCGTCTCATGGCACATGTGGCTTCTAGGTGAAATCATGAGTCATGTCAAATAGGTAGCGGTTTAGATTCTTTCTCATAGCTCGCTGGCTTTTTGACCTTGAGGAAATCACATAGCTTATCTCGACTGTAAATTGAGAATAATCATACAGACCTCAACGGGTGGTGTCATTATGAAATAATGTACGTCAAGCATCTGGCTTATTTCTTGACACATAATGAGCTGTCAACATATGGCATTGCTATTATTATTATTATTATTATTATTATTATTATCTCATGACCATTATTATTTTGGCTTTAGTCTCTCCATCTGTGACATGGTGAGGGATGATCCCTGTCCTGCCCTGCTCCCCAGGTCCTTGTGAGGCCAAAAACAAGTAGCATCCCCAGAACCTAGTGCCCCTGGGAGTGTGTGCCCTGTTCGAGGGGAGGACTTGTGGCAGCGTCTCACTTGCCTTCCTGCCCGGTGGGTCCATCCCTCTGTGACATGGGAAACGGGTTCCCAAGATACCGTCATCCCTTCCACCCTCCCTCATGACTCTCCCATTCCTGGCCCTCCTCGGCCCTGCCTACTTCCTCCTCTCGTGAACAGAGCTGTATAAACACCAATAAACACCAAAGCCAGAATGCCATTTACTGGTGCTGGGTGACTGGGGGAATAGGGGGGCGGGGTGGAAGGGGATGCCACACAAGAGGGGGCAGGAGCCAGATTCCTGTGGGCTGTGAGTTCAATCATCTCTGCCTGGGGAGTTTCCTCCCTTCCTCTGCCTCTTTTTTTTTTTTTTTTTTTTTTTTTTAAGATTTTATTTATTTATTCATGAGACAGAGAGAGGCAGAGACACAGGCAGAGGGAGAAGCAGGCTCCTTGTGGGGAACCCAATGTGGAACTTGGTGCCTGGACCCAGAGATCACACCCTGAGCCAAAGGCAGATGCTCAACCACTGAGCCACCCAGGTGCCCCCTTCCTCTGCCTCTTGAATGAAGATGTTTTCTGTTCCCAGCATCCTTACCTTATTCCTTGCCTCTTTCCACGAATTTGCCTTTCTGCATGCCTCACCCTTTCTTTCTTTTCTTTCTTTTTTTTTTTTTCTTGTTCTTTTATGTGATTGCTCTGAAAAGGGTGGTTACCTAGTGGTTGAGAGTGGGAACTCCACCCAGATTGCCTGAGCTGAAATCTCTCAGCTCTCCCTCCCACTCCAAAGCTGAGAACCTCTGAGGAGCACGTCAGGCTCCTTATCTGTAAAAAGGGGCAAGAATCATGCCTCCCTCGTGTGGTTGCTGGGAGGTCTCAGGAGTCACTGAGCTTGACAAGGCCTGGTGCCCAGTAGGTACCTGCTGAATGGGAGCTATTTTTATTATGGAGAATCCTGCCTGTTTGGATTTCTTCCTGTCGGCAAGTGCTCTTGCTGATGCAGGAAGGAGGCTGCAGGGAGGTCTCCTGACTCAGAGTCCAGGCTCTGCTGCTGGTTAGCTGGGACTCTAGGCAGCACATTCCCACGGAGGGCTTTAGTGTCCCCACTTGCTCAGCCTGGGGCTGGGAATGGGTCTCACCCATGCTTCTCACCGTCTCTCTGCCTTCTCTTTGGTTTGTCACTACCCTACCCTTCCACTTCTGGAGCCTTTCAAAAGTGGAAGACACACAGCTGTTCTGAGCTCTCCGTGCCTCCATTGAACGGGGCAGAGACACATGACATAGAGAAAATGTCACAGGTTGCTAGACCAGAGGTCAAGAGATGCCTGTTGGAGTCCCAGTTCTGTGGTGTGACCCTGGATAAGTCATTTCATGTCTCTTGATTTCAGCTTTCCCATTTTCTTTCTTTTTTTTTTTAAGATTTTATTTATTTATTCATGAGAGACACAGAGAGAGAAGGAGGGACATAGGCAGAGGAAGGAGCAGGCTCCCTTCGGGGAGTCCTATGTGGGATTCGATCCCAGGACCCCGGGATCACAATCTGAGCCAAAGGCTGACACTAAACCACTGAGCCAGCCAGGTGCCCATTTTCAAAATGGGGGTAATCACCCCTCTAAAAAGTGACCCAAAATGAGATATTGGAAAGTGTTCTGTTGGCTGCCGGGTGTGCAGAAGTGAAGACTCCTGATGGTCTCAGATGGAGCAGAGGGACTGTGGCCACAGCTCCGGCCACGGTCCATGCTGCCCGTGGGGACCTGAGATGGGAGTTGTAAGTGTCCTTCCTTGCCTGACCTCTGTTCTCTCTGAGGGACATCTGGCCCGTGGGTGACTCAGACAGGAAACTACCAGCCATCACTTCAAAAAGCTTGGACTCCTCTCAAAGATATGCTTACTTTGTGTTGTTCTGTGTTTGTTTGGATGGTGGGGGAGTAATTTACAGAATCAAGGACAGATCCTCAGTGCGAGCCGCTCCCTGGGAGGACCTCTGTGACCCTGGAGGGACTCTAAAAGGAGGTGGAGTGTGCTTAGGGCCAGAAACGATAAGTTTCTTAAATGCTGGTCTGTGGACCAGAGCCAGGATGGTGTCATCAAAACTCTCCAGAAGCTTTGACCACTGCTCTGGGGAGGGAATTGTGTGTTTTGTTAGAGACTGGGCTGGCCTGTCAGAGGGCTTCACCTTACCTGCCCTGGTCCCCATCAGGAGGCTGGAACATGTTAATGATACTAGCACTGAGGCATGATGAGTTTCTGATTAGGGTTAGCTATCTGTGTAGTTGTGGGTGTTCAACGTAACCAGGTGACTGAGTCCTTCATCCTGACTTTTTTGAGAGCATCTCTAAATAAGCAGAGGGGACAACATGAGTAGGAGAACATTCTGGAAGTACCAGAGAGTCATAGTCTTGCAAAGACTCAGCATTCTACTGGCCTGCCCCTCTTGGCCTTGTGGTGGAAAAAGGCGGGGGTCTTGCCGGGCCTCAGTGGGAGAATCATGTCCCTATCATATACACTGACCATGGATTATAATTTTGAGGATGTTTGGGAGAAAAAGCAGTGGGTTTGGGATAGTGCCCCCAATACCTGATTATTTCAACCTCTTCTCTCTCGTTTCCAGGTCCTTCTGTGGCACATCTGGCAAGAGGTAAGAGATTTGATCTTACCCCAGGATCCTTCATCGGAAATTCACCTTCTTGACTGTCTAGACCCAAACTTATAGGAAACAGCCCCTGTGTCAGGGCACCCTCTCTTCAGGCTGTGCCCTGGGATGGGAATTTACAAACACAACCCTAAATCCATCAGAAACTAATCTCTTTCCCCCTCTGCCTCCGCGACCTGGTTTCCCAAAACGCAGGGCCAGCCCCATAAACGTGGGCTCAGAATTCACTTTCTCATGGGGCCAAGGACTTTTGAGAGTTGCTGTGTTTTCCATATCATTTCCTTCCTTCCTCGTCCCCCCCCCCCCTCCACTTCCTGTTTTTTCTTCCTCTTTCTCCACCCGCCAGCCCAGCCCGGCTCTCCAGCCATGTCCCTTGTTGTCTGAGAACAGGAACAAAGCCCAGAGCGTAGATAATCATGATTTCCTGATGGGCCCTCTCTCTCTCTCCACTGGGAACCAGTGCCAGGCTCAGCTTCTCTGGGGCACTGGAACCTCTGCTGGGAGCACAGCAGGAAGCATGGCCTTTGGAGCACGCCGTCTGAAAGAGAATCTATCAAGAATAATCCTTCATGTCCTTAAGAGAATTCATAGTTTCCAAAGAACTTTCTCCTGCATTCAAGCGAAAACACTGGAAAAATAAGACAACCGCTAGTGTTTTGGCCAAATAACTAAAATCTGGTTTAGATGGACAAAACACCAGTGTGGCAGCTAGATGGGAGTTTATTTCTGGTTCTGCACTTTATTCTCTTTATGACTCTGCAGATCATGCTAGTTCTTTGAAACTCGGTTCCCTAAACATTTGGAAAAATGGAGTTAAGGGTACCTCATGGGGAGTTTTTGAGGACAGATCAGGAAAATGTATCTGTAAGACTCAGATGGTGTGCCTGGTGGACCTGATTTGCTTAATATATGTGAGATCCCCTTTTGGGTTTTGGTTTTCTGTGCAGAGGAGTGACTGTTCAAATATATAGTAGCCAGAAAAATCACATAATAAATGATACCCCTGGGAGGAGGATCCATATCTGTTACTGTGTTTTCCGGAGACAGAGAGAGAGAAAGAGAGAGACAGAGAGAAAAGACAGACAAAGAGATCTACTGGCTGGACACAAATCACTGAAAAGCAAAGCCCACCCACTACCGTGCTCATGGGGCCCCCTATTCTATAATGATATTTTTTCTGATGAGAAATAGAACAATCCCAACCACATGCCTGAGATAGACTGTTTCACTAATTTAGCTCCCAGGGGCAAAACTACAAGAACAGCAATCTGGAAAAAAATCTCTCCTCCTTTTTTGAAAAATTGTATTTAAAAAAAAACAAAAAAACAAAACAGACTTCCCATTCAGGGTCAGTGACCACTTGTTTGAGAAGTCAGCCTGACCATGAAACTGCTTTTTAAAAAATTCCAAAGGCCAGAGAGTCAGAGACATATTCCAATGTTATTTCTCCAAGTTGCTGAATCCTTGAATGAGGCTGTTTGCTGCTGAGGCTCAGTTTCCCCAACCACAAAACGAAAGCATTACACAAGGTTATCAGGTTATTGCACCAATTTCTTAGAGCCCTGGTAATGTGTAATTCTGGTGTATTCTCTGTGTTTTCCTTAAAAATGTGTTATTTCTAGAAGAGAACAGGATATGGCCTGTCAAAGTAACATGACTTGCATTCCCTTTTAGCAGATTATCACTCACATAAGGACAGAGAAAGGACAGGACTCTAGCGGGGGCACAGCCCTGATTTGGGAGCCAGACACTCCTTGGCCAGCTTGCTCAGCTGTTTTGTCCCATCAGCCTGGATTGGTGAACCCGAATCACCAAAGAGAGCTCCAGGTAAGAAACAACTGACTTGGGTTATAGCAGACGGCACAGTGATAATCATCATTTTTGGTGGTGAGAATGTGTGATCTGCACGCTTATGGGACACATGAAAGTATTGAGGGTGATCATTTTGCCAGATTTGTCATCTTTGATTAGAGGTCGTGCGTCTTAACACCACATACACATAAAAGGGGAAACAAAAACCCCAAAGAAACCAAGGATATAGTTTTGAAGTGGTTAAAGGTCCCTGGGTTTCTACAACTGTATTTTGAGTGGGAGCTCTTGTTACCCTGGGTCTGGTGAGTATTTAGGCAGGAAATAGAGTAGCTTAGAACTACAGGCAGGGACGCCTGGGTGGCTCAGTGGTTGAGCATCTGCCTTCAGCTCAGGGCCTGATCCCAGGGTCCTGAGATCGAATCCCACATCGGGCTCCCCTCAGGGAACCTCCTTCTCCTTCTGCCTGTGTCTCTGCCTCTCTCTGTGTCTCTCATGAATAAATAAATAAGATCTTTTTAAAAAAAAAAAAAAAGAAAAGAAAAGAACTACAGGCAGGGGAAAACAGATTAGGGCTGGAGTTCTAGGTTACTGTCCCTTGCAGAATTCATTTGAGATGAAGCGCAATCCGACTTCCTTTCTACCCATCCTGGTCATGCAAACTTAGGCAAGCACACATCCTTCAGTAGCAAACTCAGGATGAAATTTCGGTCTCCTGCCACAGGTCTGCCTTGTGTCGCACTTGCTATAACATTTTTTGAGGCATTTTCAATTTGTGCACCGCGCTGCTCCAGCTGCAGGTGGCCAGGCCTTACTGTCAACACATGGATTCTTTGTTGTTACTAGCTCCCTCCTCTGGCACCTCCTCCCAATCCTTTATGGACACTTTTCTTCTCATCTGCAAAGACTGGGCCACACCTACCTGAACTCCTTCATTGAACTCAGACCTGACAGGAGCTGACACCCCCACCAGATGACTAAAGATCTACTGAGGGGCTCAGCGCATTGGATGCTGGCATTCTAGTGCATCCCCTTAAGTTGGCCCAGGGCACCCACTTAGGATCAGGAGTCACAAAGGAGATGCCGGTACCCTGAGATGGTCATGCACTTGTTCATCTTTCTCCAGTTGCTGGGGTTCCCTTCTGCTGTCTTTTGTCCTAAAGCTCTTCTTCTGCATCTAGATATCTTGAGTTTCCTTGAAGACTATAAGGAGAAGCATTTCATACAGCTGAGCATAGCACAGAAGGTAAGACCAGGAGAATTCTAAGATGGTTCCAGTCTAAGTACCTAGGATCATTTTATCCTAGACTTGTTCCTTATACCACATTCTCATTCTTTGGGGGAACAGGATTATCTTGTGGTCCGTTCCTTTCTTTTCTCTTGTGGTTTCTTTTCCTAGGGTGGCCACGAGCATAATTCAGAGGAAGGAGAGGAGCTTTTGGCATTAGACTTGATTTCAAATCTCACTTCTAGGGATCCCTTGGTGGCGCAGCAGTTTGGCGCCTGCCTTTGGCCCAGGGCGCGATCCTGGAGACCCGGGATCGAATCCCATGTCGGGCTCCCGGTGCCTGGAGCCTGCTTCTCCCTCTGCCTGTGTCTCTGCCTCTCTCTCTCTCTCTCTCTCATAAATAAATAAAAAATTAAAAAAAAACAAAAACAATGAAATTACCTGTTGGATCCATCTCAGCTCTTCTCTTGTCTACATGCACAGGGCCCATCGGGTAGGCCTCCAGGGCCATACCATAAGACAGCTGTGCCGTAAGCAGGGTACCCTGCTGCTCACTCCAGTGCTTCTCCACTAGCACTATTTGTTCATGGCTTGAGATAGAAATACATCACTATATTAGGGGCACCTGGCTGGCTTGGTCAGGAGAGCATGGGACTCTTGATCTTAAGGTCGTGAGTTCAAGCCCCATGTTCAGAGTAGAGCCTTCTTAAAAAAATAATATGTCATTAAATACATATTAACAAGGGCCCATCCATTCCTATGTTATAAAAAAGAAACAAATCTCACTTCTATTTATTAGTTTAGTGATTTTGCTGAGATCATTTTAAATTCCTGAGGTTCTGTTTCCCCATCTGTAAGATGAGGATAATATGCCCTTATGTTGTATACTTGTGATCAGGATGAAAGGAGATAATTTAAATGTATTAACATAGTTTCTTTCTCAAAAAAGTGTTAGCTCCTTTCCTCCCCAATCTTATTTAGAGCTACTTAAATAAATATAGCTTTGACTCCCCCATCAGGTTCTCTTAGAACCTTGTGCCTTGTGTGTCTGTTGGCTTTGAGGCACTCATTCAGCCAGCCAGCCATTCAGTCAACAGATGTTTATGAAGCATGTACTACGTGGCAGGTGCCATTCTTGATGTTAGGGATACAGCACAGAATAAAACGAAGTTTCTGTCCTCGTGGGGCTTGCATTCTCATGGGACTGTAGGATCATCAACAAGGAAACATGCGTACATTGTATCAGGCAGTGTTAAACACTATGGGAAAAAAAGTAAAGCAGGAAACATAAATAAATGAAGTCAAGCCAGAAAGAGGGGAAGTGGAGAAAGTAGCTGCTGCTGTTTCACACAGGGTCCAAGGGAAGACCTCTCTGATTAGGCGTTACTGGAGTACAACCTAAACAAAGTGAGGGAGTGAGGCTCAAAGGAACAAAGCCCTAAGGTGGGAATGTGCTTGGGCATTAAGCAGCAGAGAGCAGCCAGTAGGATTGGAGCAGAAGGAGCAAGGGGACAGCAGAAGGATGTGAAGGCAGAGAGAAGCCGTCAGATCCTGTAGGGCTTCGTAAACCACAGTAAGGACTTGGGCTTTTATGTACTGACTGCCCTTCCAGAGATTCTTCTACCTTTCCTCCCTCTCCCCCAGAACATCTAAAAGGCCCCATCCCTAAATCATCACTACGTAGAAAAAGGGATGGATGCTTTTGCCCAATAGGGTATGAGCCACCCATTCAAAAACTTGTGTTGGGCATTAGGTACCAAGCCTCTGGAGATGAATGAGACAATGCCCTGTCCTGAGAGCCCATGGTCAGCGCTAGTTCAAACTGCTTGAGCAAGTTGCATTGATAAATTAGGTTGAAGCAAGGAGTAGTTCTAATTTGGTCATTGTTGAACCAGTTTGCCAGAGTGGTCATTTTCCCTTCGACCCTCTCACGGGTCACTCCCCCCAGTTCTCTTGGAATGCATTCACATATTCATGTATTACCAAGTCTTGCCTCCAGGGTAGAGGGGGGGATCGATTCATTCCGCAAATACTTGGGTGCCTATTCTACGTCAGTGTCACTGTAGACACTGGGTACAGATGATGACTAGATTCGCTCCCTGCCCTTGAGGGGTCTATGGTTTTCCAGGGAGACCTGCTAGTGACCTGGCAACACACACTGATCTGTGTTGGAGTGAGAGTGAATGTGAGGGAGCCCGAGGAGAGGCTCCTGACCCAGACAGAGTGGGCAGGATGGGGCAGCTCCTGGGGCATGTCGTGTCCACTCAGTCCTCCAGGTGAGGCACAGTCAGGCAGGCGAATAGCAGGGAGGGTGGGCAACATCAGAGAAGGGGATAGAATTAGAAGGTCAGAGTTTCCTCAGATGTAAAGTAGGTTCATACAGACAAATGGAATGAGACAGTCCTCTGGCGTGGGTAAATATGTGGCCCCTTCTGTCTCCCAGTGCTCTAGTGAGTGTTAAATGTTGACTGTTCTGTGCACGGCCTTGGTACACAAATTGCTGGGAAACGGTTAGAACATGAGCCTTGTTTCTGTTTGGAGAGAGTGGCTGGCAAAAGCCTGCACTATTCTGGTAGGAATGATGGAATTTAGGTCTTGATACTTTTTCTTCTGGTCAGAAAGCAAATGGGTAATATCCATCTCTTAACCCTCTCCTAGTTGAATAGGACAATAAGAATGTTCTCTATGGAAAGTACACGTTCACTGGCCAGACAAGACCCGAGTCCGTACACGTGCCAGACTCTGCGCTGGGTCTGGAAACCATCAAGATGGATCAAGTCTGTGCATTCCTCCAAGGAGGGCATGTTTGTGACAATGACAGAAGGGGCCAGCAGTCACAGACACAGATAGTAGTCAGGAGCCTCTTGCATGAACAAAGTGCAGAAACAGAGGGACGCCTAGGGGGCTCAGTCTGTGAAGCGTCTAACTCGATTCAGCTCAGGTCATGATCCCAGGGTCGTGGGATTGAGTCCCATTTCAGACCCCATGCTCAGCAGGGAGTCTGCTTTAGATTCATTCTGTCTCTCTCTCTCAAATAAATAAATAAATAAATAAATAAATAAATCTTTTTTTTTTTTTTTTTTTTAATTGCGAAAAGGGAACATGTTCTCTGCCCGGGGAAGTCAGGGAAGGCTTCCAGGAGGAGCCAAATGAGCTGGGCATTGAAGAGTGAGTAGGAATTGGGATCCGGGTGAGAGACACCCCTAGAACAGAATAGCACTCTATAAATACTAAATACGGGCCGACATTCAAACGTCTGTGGTAGTGGTGGAGAGGAAATAGCCAGAGTGATCATCACGCACAGATAATGCCTCAGCTCTGCTTTTTAGAAACCATTAGTAGCCGCCTCCTCAGCCTCCCACCTTGTTCCCAACAGTGATTAAAAATAATCAGATTGACTAATTTTGAGTTGCTCTCTCCTCTGACCCCATGGAGGTGTCAGTAAGCAGAGTAGGAGGAGAGGGACCACGGGAAGGAGTGGAAAGAGGTGGAGGAGGAATCCAGCCGCATCTCCCGGAAACACGAATGTAAAGGCACAGCAAGCTTGCACCAGGGCTCTCCGGTAGCAAAATTCACCTTTACAGACAACTACGGCTGCTGCTTCCCAGTGAAAACTGCAGAAAAGGTTTAGAAGTGTGTCTGTCCCTCTACCTTCCTCTTAGGAAAGAGAAAGTATATACACACATATACATATATATATGTATTTTATTATATGTAAAATAGATATTCATATTTATATGTGTGTATGTACATGTGTGTAAAATATATATGTAAAAATGTCCATATTAAT